TTTTGCACTTTTGCTACTTCCCATCGACGTGTCGACCTATCTAGACAGCCTCTTCTCGAGTTGACAGGTTTTAACATGATGGCTTGACGACCTTGCTCCAGCTTCACAAGAGTTCACAGGTTTCACCAGAGTGAGACATGTAAACCGGAACTAAGGAAGCAATGATAGTACAAAATGCCCCCCCCCCCCGTCGTCAAAATGTGCCGTACACGACTTTCCGCTGGGGAGAATTTGAGCGATATACGAAATATGATCCCCTTTTGAAGTGTTCAAAGTGCCGTCTCAATACGACCCATCCCATTACACAACCCACCATTTTTCCAAATTCCTAACACTTCTCCGTGTTTATTTTCCCAAAAATCCTTTAGTTTTTCACCACAAAACTGCCGTCGACCGGGTGTCCGATTGGGGGAAATCTTTTATTTTTCACCACAAATTGCCTCAATCGGTTCTGGTGAGGGGAGGGGGAGAGGGGAGGGGGTAGAGCACTTCCAACAGGAAAATCTTCGAAAAGTCAACAACCAAAATAATCTTCTGAATGGCGAACCCGACCCCCCTCGTTGGGGTTTCCTGACGTTCGACGTGCACTGGCCCCAATCTAGCCAACCAAAGAAGTTAACTAGAGTTGAGGAAAGTTAGACAATAGATCCGAAAATAAACCCACTCATTTAAAAAAAGAAATAAAGAATAAAATACCTGGCTGTTTTCTTGTTCAGCAGATGACGAACAACTCTTCGTGGCTTCACACCATTACGAATAACGGTGATGATACGTGGAAACACAAAATGGGTAGGTTCGACCTAGAAAAAAAAATCAGAAGTTATTAATCCAGTTACATCCTTACTGGGAAATTTGCGATCATTGAGTGAAACTTTAAAGAGAGCGCCGATTTGAACGAAACAAAAATTTGATAAACAAACTAGTAAAGAAAAACAAAAATAATTGTCACAACTCACGGCGACATGATCTGTTCCACAGAGGCCCAGCATGGCGGCATCGTTTGGTCGATTTGTCCTCGAAAGCGCAAAACACCAAAACGGTTCACGTGCATTCGTATAATCTACAGATTTAAACGCTTCCGTACTGAAAATGATTACCATCAACTCGCAATTTAGTCAACTTGATCAACTTCAGGGCGCATTCAGACTTTGCGATCGGATCGCTCGAGCGTTCGAATCGCGAGGTCTAAATGCGCTCTTACTTAACAGTAGTTCCATTCAGTATCAGACCAAGCACCCCAACCTAGAACAACGTAGGATTCGTCTTCGGACTGTCGATATGGGTGATACGGGTCTGCCCTCTAAGTGGAAGAATGTGTCCGTAATACCCAGATGGGAGGGCTGTTGATCAGCCCATAGCCTTAGCGAGATCTTCCATCAATGGTTTCATACTTCGAACACGATCGCTTCGCAATGCATACCACAAACCCTGGAAAAACCGAATTGAGCAGAACCTACTTGCTTGAGAGTACCCCAAGTCACCTTTCACGGAAACAGTTGAAAAATACGGCATTTCTTCGTAAGTTTTATTCAAGTTATTCAAGAACAACAACAACAGCGAGCACTACTTATAGTGTACTTCGCTGCGGACGGTTGGGCGTGTCAGATGGGATGAGTTGGGCGCGGTGCCAAACCCGTGAGCGCTGTGCCAAACCCGTTCTCCCCAGCAGTTGTCAAAGCGAGTAAATGATAGTGACTCTTTATCATACGTTCGTACTGCTCCGTTTCTAGCCCATTTTTTGTCGCATGTGCCTTTCAACAAGAAGGCAGAGAACGGCTTTGACGGGGTGACACACTCATACTGCTTGACACACCCAACCGTCCGCAACGAACTACAGTGTACCTTTTATTGGCACACTTTCCGAATTACAGGGATATTTTGATCAAAATTGTCCTAGATAGGTTTTGGATAAGCCCGTCGCCTGGGATAGGCAACTATTGGTAAGAAGAACGTTTGGCGAGGTGGGTCATTTAGCGGCTTTCTTATCATCCCTAGTCGCTTCAAATTCGTAAACGCTGTCTTGCTGATGATCTAGTACTTGATAAGTCACGTATGGAGCGCTGAAAAAGCTGCTACGCACAAAAATCAAGTGCGCACTGGACCCAGAAAGGCTAAGAGCGTGTTCATACTTCGCGCCAGCGTTTCGAGTGTTTTGAGTGACTGGGAAAGTTCAAGATAAGAATCTGCTACTCAATCCAGCGTTGTTTGAGAGAACGCTCAAGAAGCTGGCAGTGCAAAGCCAGTAGGTAGAATTTCGGGTATAGCAAAATATATCCGATTTTGCTGCCATGATAATCTGCATTCCACTAAGTGAGGAGTAATCCGTTGACTAGTACAGCGTCTACTTGAAGTTCCCTGTTCCCTTCCGACATTATGACAGGGGAAAAGGACGTAATCGATTTTTTCTGAGAGACATTTGGAATTAATTGAGAGGTCGGCGTCGGAGGAAACACTTTCACCCGAGCAACATTCAAAGTATGACGCAAATGCGCTCGCGAGAGCAAAAAATTACCTTCTCGGTAGTTTTCGAACCTCTTAGCTGTTTTCTCGAGAGCAAATACTCTTGGCATTTCCTACAAATTCTACTAAAAATCTACAGCTACTAATGCGTAACAAAACCTTCAACTTGACAAAGTATTCATAAAAAATATTATGAGATAAATTTCACAATCCCAGTTCCCCGTACTATTCTTTTTGACCAAAAAAAAACAGCCAACTAACACTCGAAAATACCTGAAACTCTGAAAAACCGTTGTCGATGCGGAATGCGAAAGAATATACTACCATAGAAAACAACGTCCCGAAACCCTCGGCTGTAGTCAAGAAGGGACATAAACGAAAAACTACAGAATTCCCATATAGGCAACCATGATGAATTTGTATGTGCCATTGGGAAAGAAGGTTACGCTTTAACAGTCCCGTATAAGATCCCCTTCATGACCGTCAGGCTACTGGCATGTGGACACTTCAATAAGCGCTGGGCCAACTATATGGGTCAGATGCAACACTTGTGTCTTTAATCTTTCAGAAAACTATGTTCTAGAAATACTCCAGAAGGGGGGGGGAGCATTGAGAGACTATCCATAAGTGGGCGAGTTTTCTGACCTATTTTATAGGGATGGAATGCGCTCTGGGACACAGAGCCACTATTTTGGGCGAAAAGGGCTTTACCTGCACAATACTTCTAACATTAAGTATTCATGTGCATGCCCTCCCAGCGCAGCGCTGTTTAAAGAATGTAAGTTACATTTATTTACATGGCTACATGAACGCTTGCCAACGGTGGAAGCGAGGCTACAGAGGTTGCCGCTTTCTCCATTTTGTAGAGTCAAGAAAATAGAAAAAACGCAAGTTAGTTCTTACAAAACATTCGCAGGCCTACAGCGGAACGGAAAAATGGCGGTGCCAGCCGACTCCAAAATCACCCCTTCACCACTCTTACCTATTATTTTTTTTTTATTTCCCCAACTTCCCGCGGGTTTTCGAGAAAGAAGCTAGCATCCCTTCCCTTATCTCCCTCCCCCTTTCTCCGCCCCCCCCCATCCACCAAAAAAACTGACGTCGTAATGTCGAGCGGGAGGTCGTCATCACGGAGGGAGCCGTCTACAAACAACTGCTAATTTCAGCAACCAAAAGTAGTTCGAAATAGTTGTAGGACCACGACATTGGCGGCGCCTCCAAATTAGGGGGGGGGGTATGTAACAGGCATGAACACATGAAACGGGAGATACCGCAGAAACTTAACAAGGAAAAAAGTTCTCTCGCGCTCCGGAGGAATTTCTGTCGAGACCAGATACGACCCCCTTCCCAACGACCAAGTACGAATTATTGATGAGGTTGTACCACCGATGCTGTGACCAAAACAAATAAATCCTGATGGGACCTTCTGCTACTCTATATTTCTATACTCTACATTTGGTTCAATTTCGAAAGCGCAAATCCCCAATATGGCCCCACCTTATGGATCGATTATAGCGCAACTATACAGTTGCTCTGTCAAAATAACCCATAAAACACCCAATAATGTCACACAATGTGACGACCAAACCATTTTCTCATCATTTTTACGTCACTATACACATTACGATATTGCACAATACAACTTTCCAGCGCAGGTTGAACATGTGAAACGGTTAAAACGGTATTCAAAAATAACAAAAATGACAAAACTATTGAACTCTAAATCAAATACACAGATAATTCACCTTGTAGTACTGGTCGCCATTTCGATAGAAACGTATTCGTTTCGCTTTCGCCGACCGCGTCACACATCGGAATGGTTTCGGTGTACTTGTTACATCCGAGGAATTGACCACATCGATTCGACTCTCAGTCGGTGATGTGTTGGATGAACCGTGACTGCAAAAAAAAACCTGAGAAATGTT